CTGCAACTTCTCCTGAAAGGAAACTGAAAGAAACTGGTATGAACACCACCCAGACCCGGTTACGGAGATAGGACCTGTTACAATTCTATGGGATTACACAATACACACTGACAGAACAATCAAAGCCAACCACCCAGATATTGTTATTAAAGACCACAAACAAAAACGGTGCCTCCTTATTGATATGGCAGTCCCTGCTGACTGCAATGTATCTTTGAAGATATTCAAAAAGTTGTCAAAATACAAGAACCTTGAAATAGAAATCTCGAAAATGTGGCACATGGGAACATGAACAATCCCTTTTGTAGTTGGAGCCCTAGGATTGGTTGGAAAAGATTGCAGGAGACTAATTGAATGGATTCCTGGAAGTCCATATCTCAAAGAGATACAAAAACTTGTTCTCACGAGTACAGCCCACACCTTACGAAGGGCTTTATCTATGTAAAATACGTTTGTTTTGTTTTCTTTTTTTTTGTTTTTTTTTTAGTGGAAAATGTCATGATGCCATTTCTAACCTTAGGTCTTTGGTTGGGACCCGGAAGGAAATGTGTGTACAACAGAAATAAAAGATAATAATAATAATAATAATAATAATAATAATAATAATAATAATAAGAAGAAGAAGAAGAAGAAGAAGAAGAAGAAGAAGAAAAAGAAGAAGAAGATTTGACGCCTAGACCAGAAAAATGCTTACCCAAATGAAGATGAAACACCCGAAATCAGATGTTGACAGACTGTACGTACCAAGAGCTTTAGGATGCCGAGGTTTAATCCAATTTGAACTAACTCTAAAACTACCATAATCGGCTTGGATGCATACCTCACAAAGACCAATGGCCCTCTCCTACAAATAATAAAATACCAATTGCACACCATCAACAAAGAAGCTGAACTCTTCAAGAAACAGCTTAATACACCTGAAATCCTCCCAACAAAAAACGAAGCGAATACCATCTTCGCCAAACGAGTAAAACAAAAAACAAAACAAGTCGGCCAAACGATATCACAAAAAAACTGCCCCCCCCCAATAAAAGACAAGCCGTTGCATAGCAAATGCCTAAAAAGAACGAAAGAAGCAAATGTGTGACCAACAGATAATATGGCTTAGGATGGAACGAAATGCAGGATATGCGGCAAATATGATGAATCTGTCGACCATATTATCTCAGGATGTCCTGAAAGCAAAAAATGAATATACCCACTGACGTAACAAGGTATGTGCACTGGAAGATATGCATGAAGCACAAAATCGAAACCACTGAGAAATGGTATGAGCACCAACCAGACGCACTAAATCCCCCCCACCCCCCAAAAAAACGCTGTAACTATCCTCTGGGATATGACAATGCAAAAATTGACAGGGAAATAAATGACAACAGACCTGATGTTATCAGAAACGACAAGAAATTCAGAAAGTGTACTGAATAAAGTGAATAAATTTACTACGAAAATGTGCTTTGTAGAACAATGGAGTTGGAATGCTCACAATATTGATCCCAGTGCTCCAATCACCACTGGAATCCCCTTGACATTCCCTCCCCGTATTCCAATCTTGCCATCTCGACTTTGAAATCAGAGTAGGGTGTAATTTTCTTAATCGCCTTGTTTGCTATATTTGTGTCATTTTGTACGGCAACATCAATAATAGGACAGAACTTGGGGCCTTTATTTAACACGATAATATCCCGACGGCGATGTTTTATCACTCTGTCTGCCTGAAAATCATCGTCCCAAAATACTATGAGCATTCCAACTTCTTTAATTGTTTTACAAGGCACATGCTCGTACCAATTTATTATTATTTTTATTATTATTATTATTATTTGAGTATGGTATGTTTTCTACTTTGTATCCTGTAGAGCCAAGTTCAAACTATGGTCCTTAGACCCTATAGGAAAATTGTTATTCAATTGATGGCACTTTTCTTAGTATATGGGATGTTCCTAGTAGGGCAATCTTCTGAGCATCTTGCATGTTGATGCTACCTGAGACACTGTTAGTAAAAATATCCATTCTTTTTCTCACGAGGCCCAGTGCTCCGATTACTATTGGTACAGCCTCAGTCTTCATTCCCTACATCCTGTTAATCTCGATGTTCAGGTTCTTGTATTTGGATAATTTCTCGATAATTTTCATGGAGATGTTTCTCTCAGATGTTACTGCTATGTCAGTAATTGTGTAATTTTCTCAATCACCTCAATGACGATGATTTTCAGGCAGTCGGACTGATAAACTATTGCCGTCCAGATATTATCGTGTTAAATAAAAGCACCAAATTCTGTCCTATTATTGATGTTGCCGTACAAAATGACACAAATATAGCAAACAAGATGATTGAGAAAATTACACCCTACTCTGATTTGAAAGGCGAGATGGCAAGATTGTTTGGAATGCGGGAAGGGAATGTCAAGGTGATTCCAGTGGTGATTGGAGCATTGGGATCAATCTCATTGAAATGATTTGACTTCCTTGACTAACTAGGGATACCGTATCAATTTGGAGACATCCAGAAATAGGATCCTTTGATCACTGCGTATATTTTCAGGAAATTC